AAAAAAAAGAAACTCCTAAAAATATTCAATTATAATGTGTAAGAAACTAAACTTGATAAGACATCTGAAAGTTATTAATTTATGCGAACATAAAACTTCATTGGTTGATCTTTACGTCTGTTTCGAGCGTACATCTTACAGCTGTATATTTTGTCGTTAACAAAAGTGAACTTTTAAAGCCTATACATGAACGTTGTGTCAGACAAAAAACAAAACAAAAACAAATAAAGCAAAACGACGAAATCACAGTTCGAATTAACCTGACAGTGTTCTTAGTATCAGTACTTGATTGTGGTGTGTTTTTCTTCAACATATTTTGTGCTTGGAGTGGCTTCGAAATACTTTTAAAGCAGTCTTATTTTATATGAACAAAATACAGAGCAGATTTGGGCTTTTTTTTTGTTTGTTTGTTTGTAAGAGAACTACTAAGAAAAAAGGTTTAAGTCTTTGGTAAATAACAAATTAAGAATAAGTTGTTTTAGTGATTAACTGAATTCTCTAGCTGTGAAGTTTCCTGGATACGGCCAGCAGGTGGCGGAGGTCTGGTATCTTGAAAAGGAACCCCATCTGTTACAGTCCTCCAGTTCGAAAGTTTAGTCTGCTTTATTTCCACCATTTTTGACACAATAATTTGCCTGTTTCCCTATGTAATCTTAAGACATCTTTGGTTCGACTCCTGCTGGTTTGACACGTGTCGGAAGCCATACGTGAGGATGGAGGAGTTTCTATATGGAGATATTCTCGTAAACAAGAGTCCATATTTCCTGCGATGTTAGGCTGTTAAAAAAGCTCGAGAACTAACGTTGTAGACTTCTTTGCGCCTCCTGTGCTTATTTGAAATGTGCATAGTCAGCTTGCACTGACGTTAAGTTACATCTTCAAAGTGCGATATATTTGAATAGGTAGTGTAAGCTTACAGCCATATTATTATTAAAATTGATCGCCTAAGAAATCAATTATTGAATCATTGGAAAACAAAAACAGACGAGATGTCTTCTAACAAATCGAAAATATTTTGTTTAAAATCTTTCCTCGTGTTATATTTTGTACCTTGTAATTTATCTAGCGTAAAGAATGAGCAAGCTGGATTTTTCTCTGACCTTTTATTTAAATAGATAATTGACTTCCGACAAAAAAACATAAAACGTTAAAAGATTATATAAATTACATCACCAGAAAAAATACTAACAGTTGTTACGTTTCGTATATAGATATTATTAAATGAAATCTGACTGTAAAAATTTTATCTTACCTATAAAATACTTTTATTCTGTCCATAACAATAATATTTGTTGAAGTATTAATTATTGTATTTTTCCAGTTCCGGCTCAAGGCAATTTTACGGAAGAAGAACCTCCCGCTGCGCCCCCTATTGGTAAAGTTGTATTAAAAATTATTTTAATGAATTTTGTTTTGCAGCATGGTTATATGTTACATATTACACAGCCTCCTGGTATCTCAGAATTTAACTTGATGGATTATAACGTTGAAATGTGAGACTCGATCCCTGCAATGAGCACAGATAAACAATTGCATAATTTTACACTTAAAGAAAACATGTACATAAAATCATAATAATTGTTTGTTTGTTGTTAATCACAAAGCTACGCAATCGGCTATCGAAACCTAGTTTTTAGCGATGTAAGCCCTCAGACTTGCCGCTGAGCCACTGGGGACAAAATCATAATGTACATTTACTCTTGCTACTATTGGTATTTTCGGCCGTAATTCCAATGATATCTTAGAGGTTCGGCCAGCTTAGGAGAATAAAGTTAGTCCTAAACGCATATAGTAGACTTACGATGCAGCATAATCTTCATAAATGAAAAATATATAATAACAATAATATTCAACGTGATAACCAATATTAATGAAACTAACTTTTAAAAAGTATTTTATGTAATTACTTACAAAACATACAAGATTCACATAACTGACCAATATACCAAACATACATATACTTGAAGTGTTAGTGCTCATCCAACAATAACAACTAGCAAAACAAAAAAAAACGCTAGTCTCCAAAATGGCTAATTATACTAAAGTTAAATGTCTGTGTCGTGTTGTATTCGATAATTCGTTTTACTGTTGGCAAATCGCATTCTCTGCCATTAGCAATGCATTTCTTGTAGATTTTAGTTGAATAATTTCCCACTAGGATTTTCCCTTTAGACGTGAGTTAATCATTTCAATGTAAGTAACTTTTGCACGGCCCAATCAACGGATCTCTGGATTTCTCTAGAGGAGATCGGGATTAGCTTTGAATAATTAAAGAAAAAAATGTTGGTCCATGACCCACATCATTAATTCTTATTAGTTTCTTCCTTTTAAACTTAAAAAAAAAATGTTTTGTCTGTAGTATAGCGAACTCTGGTAAAAGTTACTCGTAGTTCTTCGAAATATTTTTCCATTTTCTGTCTCACCTTTGACCCCTACAGCCGTAAAAAAGTGGCTGTGTTTCTTTGATATCGTTTCTATCCTACTGGCTGACATCTTTGTTCTACTTCCAGTTAGTACAGCAGTCAATGACGACTCCTTATCCAGTCAGTACGTGGGATTAGTAATCGGTGTTCTTGCTGCTGTAATTCTGCTTCTTATCATCGTGATCTTCATCATCATCGCTCGGAACCGACGAAGAAAGCACACAACTCCGCATACTATGTTCAAACCGGTTGAAAACAGAGTCACCATCAACATGAAGGTAAGCCAAGTTACTCCATGTTAGTATTAGTTCGTATTGGAGCCGCCAGTTGGTTAATTTGACTGTTTTTTAACCCTAATCTAAAGTCACCATGAACATGAAGGTAAGCTAAGTTACTCCATTCAAGTATTAGTTCGTATTGTAGCCACCAGTTGGTTAATTTGACTGTTTTTTAACTCTAATCTGAAGCCATCATGAACATGAAGGTAAGCTAAGTTACTCCATTCAAGTATTAGTTCGTATTGCAGCCACCAGTTGGTTAATTTTAAAGCTTTTTAATTATAATCTGAAATTATAAATATCCTTTAATATTGTATCTAAAAGTTAGCCGCGATGCACGATTTTTTTGGCAACACTCAAATTACTTTCAAATTAGGTAATGTTTAAAAATATCAAATAACTCACTAAAGATATTTTTGTTTTTCATCACCAAAGGCTTATTGCCACTTCAAAAATATTTTATCCGTCCCACTTTATATCTTCCCCTAAAATATGTAATGTTACATTATTATTTCGTTGTTAAATATCAAGTAAGAGGTAGAAAGTTGTTCATAGTTATCTTATTTACTAAAGCATGTTATTAAATCAAACTTGTCAGTTCTTTAAACGATTGTTAGCCTCATCTAATGCACTGAAATTTATAAAATGTGAAAAAACAGAGTTAAAGGTAATGAATTTCACAAGACGTGTTAGATTAACGTTATATAATTGTTATGGTTTTAAAGAGTATACCTCTATATTGATGATATAATGATGATTTAAAAGAACAGTTTAAAATTGTTCAAATAACGTAATTAATAGTTAAAGAATTTTGAAACATTTTACCATGGGTGTAAAGTTGGGAGGGGTTTAAACTAATATCGCGAGAGGGCAGCTTTGTACATATGGTAACCTCAGGTGTACGGTGTTATGCGGTTCACCAAGGATCTGGGAATCAGCTATTCACCGTGTTCACCCGTGGGACGTCAAGCTAATGGCAATGTCTACGGCCAGGTGGCGCTGGATGATGCAGACCCGGACAAGCTCCTCTACCAGGAACCCCAGGACTTCAAGCCTTTTGGAGGAATATATAGTAACGGTAAGGCTATTATCACAAGATTTACGTACAAATTAGTCAGTAAGAAACTAGGACTAGTAAAAAATTTCTGTGACTGCTCAGTGTCTGTATGTTTATTTCTGTGAGGGCCCCCAGTGGCACAGCAGTAAGTCTGCAGACTTATAGCGCTAGAAACCGGGTTTCGATACCCGTGGTGGACACAGCACGGATAGTCCATGCGTAGCTTTGATTAACTACAAACAAATCGTTTCTGTGATAAATAATGAGGACCTGTAGGTGATATTGGTTTTTAAACTATAACCTCCGTGTAGACACTGTAAAACAACAATGTCAGTGATCAGGTACGTCACGAATCATCCGTTTCCACAGCAAGCAAACGCAATTGCAAAATCACTCTAGTGCTGCCACGGGATACTTCGCTTACTGATAATAAGATGCATTTGTAGGAGCAAACAGTATTGAGCATATCCTTCTAAAGTTTAGAAAAGAGAGACCTCGTTCCCCTCTAACAAAGGTTCACCTAGTGGTAAAAATATGCTGGTAATTGGTTAAGGTTTCTCGGCACAAAGCTCCATCAATTATCTACACAAACTTGTTGTTCTTGTTTGTTATCATACACAAAAGGGCTATCTGTGCTCTGCCCATCACGGGTATCGAAACCCGGTTTCTAGCAGTATAAGTCCGCAGACATGCCGCTATGCCGCTGGGGGGCACACCAAACTTGTTATTGTTGTTTTTTATTAAGCACAAAGCTACACAATGGGCTATCTGTGCTCTGCCCACCATGGGTATCGAAACTCGGTTTCTAGCAGTATAAGGCCGCAGACATACCGCTGTGCCGCTGGGAGCACCAATCTTGTTTTGTCTATAAACAACCAGATAAAAGTAATTAAAAATATGTTTATAATTAAAAGGACAAGAAATAAAATGTATCATACTAGGCTGAAATATTATATATATTGTCAGTAAGGCAAAGATCCATAAAAAACTTATTGCATGGTTAATCTGGACAGTGTCCTCTTTGTCAATGACAAAGTCAAAGGTACACAGTGAGTTAAGATATGTGATAAACATTACCACAGCCACGGCCTCCCCTGCAGAAGAAAATAATGGGGGTCAACAGACTACGGCCGTTGTGGAGTGGTGTCAAGATAACTTCCTCCTTCCGGTAATTGTGCCCCTCCCCCAGTGGCATAGCGGTATGTCTGCGGACTTACAACGCTAGAATCCGGGTTTCGATACTCGTGGTGGGCAGAGCCAAGATAGCCCTTTTGTGTAGCTTTGTGCTTAATAACAAACAAACAAACTGATCATTGTGCAAGAAGAGGGCGAATCGGTAATGCTTGTTTTGTTGTTTCTCACCCCAGAGTTAACACAAGTTTTAACACACCTCTCTTGTGTTTGAAAAAGGAGAGACTGCGTTCTTTACCATTGTTGTTGTTTGTCGAATTTCGTACAAAGCTAGTCAAGGGCTACCTACTCTGCGATTTTAAATTTAATTAATTACAACAATTTATCTAAAACTTTCCCCGGTCTTTAAAAAGGTTCTTTTGTTGCTAAGCGCAAATATGCACAATTGGCCATCTGTGCTCTGCCCACCGCGAATAGGAAAACTCGATTTTTAGTGTTATAAGCCCTCAGGCTTTGCCGCTGAGACACATCCAAAAAGAAGGGGCTTCATTGTTCACCGTTGGAAAAGGAAGAAGGAGTAAACATGCGACTTTAAATCTGGTTAATTATCGAAACTTGATTAAAACCGACGCTAAACATTAGCTCTGTGTTAAAAGGTTCTTTGTAGTGTTTTAGTCCTCCAACGTGTTGTAATATTGAAATATTGAATCTTTCAGATTCAATTGAAAGATTGAAGCTGAAAATTTAAAATGTTTACAATTTTTAATTGACTTATTTTTCTTAGGAAACATACCATTATTGCCCTCTTTTTTTTGAATTTGTTATCTTAAGACTCGACGACTTCAAGAGAATACGCTGTTCCAGATGTTCAGAAGCCTTCGACGCCTCTGGGTCACCCGCCTCCCACACCCCTCAACAAACCTCCATTCCCCCAGACTTTGCCCAAACCGCCACATCTTCCTTGTGAAAAACACTATGCAGCTACAGATGTTGTGAAACTGCCCAACATCCAGGGGGTAAGTGGCAGCACCGTCTACGCCGTGCCTAACGTGGAGCTGCTCAATAGGGAGGAATCTCCTGTTCGGGAGATTCCGAGACATAGACTGAGATTTTTGGAGAAACTCGGAGAAGGTCAATTCGGAGAGGTAAATATTCGTTATCTTGATTTTGACTTTGGTTCTTAGGCTTCCTAACGTTATATAAACTAGTAAGAAAAGATATTTAACTCACATTTGCTTGACTGCTTAATCTATATTAATCGACCAAGGACTGAAGTTTACTCAGCTTAACATATACCGTCGTTAGAATGTATTACACGTAACTTAATTGCATATCCTGAAATTTACACCTGTCAGAGAAACCCAGCAATAAACGACTACTATTACAATTCACATTTATTGTCTCGATCATTGTTAGAGCCAGCCATTGTTAATAGGATTTTTCATTCCAATCAGGTCCACCTCTGTGAGGCAGAAGGGATCCCTGAATTGGTTGATGTGCCTTGCTACGGGAACAAAACCCTGGTTGCGGTCAAAACACTGCGACAGGACGCGTCTGACCAAGTTAGGACAGACTTCTATAAGGAGGTCAAGATCCTCTCGAGGCTCCGGGATCCAAATATCGTACACGTACTGGGAGTCTGCACGCGCGAAGAACCCTTGGCAATGATTGTAGAATACATGGAAAATGGAGACCTTAATCAATTTCTTCAACAACACATTCCTGATGGCGCCGCTTATAGATCGGTCAATGCAAAAACTCTAAGGTAGGTCGCTTTATCTTTAACACCAACGAATAAGAAAATGTTAAAATAAATCAGTTTGTTTATTAATTTAAACCACCAGACTAAGAAACGAATGTATTTATAACAAGCAAATGTACGTCAGCAGTGTGGGTACAACAAAGATAAAGTAAACTAACAGTGTCGGTATAACAAACCGGAGATAAACGAACAATGGGGGGTATGACAAATCTAAGGTTATATGTCAATGGAGGTTTATTTAACCGAACAGTTTTAAGCTGCGTATTTTTTCTGTTTTCTAATGTCAAAAAAAATTCATAGTCATTTATTTGTCTTTTACAGTTTTCTGTTTACGCGTAGTTATCATAAACTTCAGCGACATACCCAGTTTTTGTCTGAATTGCTTTCTTTACTTTAATAGCTACGGCAGCCTTATCTACATGGCAACTCAGGTAGCCTCGGGGATGAAGTACTTGGAATATATTAATTTCGTTCATCGTGATCTGGCAACTCGCAACTGCCTGGTGGGCAGAGGGTACACTCTCAAGGTGGCGGACTTCGGCATGAGTAGAGACCTGTACACTGCTGACTATTATAGAATTGAAGGAAGAGCGATGCTGCCTATCAGGTGGATGGCTTGGGAAAGCATTTTATTGGTGGGCAACAACTTTTATGTTATCTACTCATGTTTGATCGGTTTGAAATTCGCAAGATTAGTACATGTATTTTTTTTGTGACTTAACAAAGTTTGTGCTCTGGTAAGGAATAAGATTTTGTTTGTTTGTTTATTTTTGCACTTTGCGCAAAGCTTCTGGTGGACTAACTGCGCTAGCCGCCCCTCATTTAAAAGTGGCATACTAGAGGGAAATCAGATAGTGAACATCACCCACCGTCATCTCTTGGGCTGCTCTTTACCAACGAATAGTGGGATTGATTATCACATAATAACGACCCCATGCTGAAAGGGCGAGCATATTCAGTGATAGGATTCGAACTCGCGACCCACAAGTTACGAGTCCATTACTCTCACCACCAAGCCATGCCAGGCCTAGTAAAGAATATGAATTGACCCAAAGAGCTGTACTGGTATAAAAAAAAAGCTCAAGTTTTTTTGGTTCTCACAGTCTAATGATTCATCAGCAACCATTATCCAAATTTACAAACTGAGAGGTTGAATATCATCAAAGGAGAGGAATAAGTTCAAAGAATCAATAAAACATTTTCCTTGCCTTGGATTTGCCTCAAAGTTGAGCCATAAAACTAATGTAAGAATGGGTTTATTGCCAAACTTTAGAATTTGGAAACCCAAATTACCGTATTTGTCTTTTCACATGGTGAGTTTTTTAATACCGAGGTGAGACTCGAGCACAAATGTTTAGAGAAAATATATCCATATAACTCCTCTGAGTTGAAGGTTTAAAGACCAACATTTAATTCTTACGATTGCTACCCAGAAATTGTTTTACAAAGCTATATGGGACCTGGATCACGAAAAAAAACAACAGATTATATACGATCTGATTTTAAGTCCAAGTACTCTTACTCATCGGACAAGATATCATGGCCGAGCATATTCTTTGTTGTTTTTTAGGGTTTTATGGCGAAAAGCCATCTTGGCCATCTGTGCCCAATAACACAGACCTGCGAATTTAAACTTCATAAAAGTTGTTTTTGTTTTGATAACGGATTTTCCATAATTCAACTACACAGATTTTAAAAATAATATTGATTTTTTTCTATCGCGTAAGGATTGTTTTACAAATCGGAAAGAAAAAAAAACTCTTAATTAGATCAAATTATCATTTCGTTTACCACAATGAACATTTTTTATTATTATGTATTGTAACAAAATTACAAAAAAAACTGAAGAAAAGGGAAGAACGTTGACGTCAAACGAATATACATCCTCATTCATCCTCACTTTTTTGTGAAATCTGCGTCTTTTAGTCTCAAAACTAAGTGTTGTAGTCTAACGTTTATGTATTGCGTTATGACGTTTTGTAAAAAAAACTGTACGTGATAGGAAAAAATGGATATCATTTTCGGATTCAGCGTACAGGAATTACTGTAGAACATGTACAAATTTCAAGCCAATAAAATCATCGCAGGCCTGTGTATTTTTTTTCCGCATTACCTTTCTAAACCATTATATAAAAAATAACCTATTAAGATATCACTATAATGTTACTCGTTTT